CGGAGACAACGCGGCCCGGAGTCGGCGCTCTCTTCCCTTCCATCGCCCCGGCACCTCCATGCCAGCCATCGCCTCCGCCCGGGCCTCGCGCCACCCGGGAAAGGTCTCCGGCGCGGCCGCTGAGCACCTCCAGGGATGCAGCGGCAGCGTCGGCGACCGGAGAACCCGCGGCGAAGCGGCGGCTCGGGAGCCGCCCGGAGCCCAGTTCTCTGGCCGCGCGCGGCCCGCGCGCCCTCGACCCCGGGCGCTGTCAGCGGTCCGCCGCGGGACCCGGGCCGCGCGGGCAGGCGGAGGCCGCCAGGATGCCTCGGGACGGCGGAAGGAAGGTGGCCGCGAGAGGCACGGGAGAAGGGGCGGTGGGAGAGGGAGCGCTACCTGTGCCCGGGTCCAGTCCCCAAACCAGCAGCAGCAGCAAGGGCAGGACGAGAGGAGGCAGCAGGGCGCCGTCACACATGGTACTTGGGAGGAGCAGCCCCCCGGACGGTCGCGGCGGAGCAGGAGCGCGCGAGGCGGCGGCGCCAGCCGGAGTGAAGCCCTCCAGCCTTTGGAAAAAGTAATTAGCGCTGCGGACAAACCCAACGTGGTAAATCCCGAGCCCCTCCTTCTCCTCGGAAAACAGAAGATGATTGGACTTTTGCTTTCCCCTGCCCCGCCTCCCCCTTTCCTATTGGCTAGGACGGGTCTAAACCAGGGTGCGTAGTTAGGTTGTAAGCACTTTCTTACACGTGGTTTCTGGGCAGTGGCGCGGAGTGGACACCAGGTGGCGCAAGGAAGCCGTCTGGAGCCGCACGATCCCGGAGGACCCAGGAGGACACCTGCCTGGTCTTCACGGTTGGTCCTCCTTTTCAAAACCGTCTCTGACCCTGCCGCTCAGCTTCCCAAGAAGACAGACCAGAAATCGTCCTGGCCAACCTATTACACCCCTATTCTCTCTGCATCTAAAATAAAACCAGTTCTGGTTGTTTGTGGCTAGGCACTTTCTTACACAAGGTGTGCAACTTTGAAGCGGATGGCTACATCCAAGGTAGCCATGTTTATGCAAACCCTTCACACCTCCTGTCATCTTTATCCTCACAGAAGCCAGTGGAACGGGCGCGATCACACCCTCTCGCACACTGAGAGACTGAAGGAGAGAGAGCTTAGGAAGCTTGTTAAGTTACCCATAGAGTTTCTGGCAGAGCAAGAGGCTAGAATTTGTGGTTCTGACTTACGGCCCGGTGCTGCTCACTACAAAGAGTACGAGCTCTCTAAGGCGGGCAGGAAGAAATATTTACCCCGTTTTACAGGTTAGGAAACGGGCACAAACTGGCAAAGCCTGGCCTTGAACCCAAGCCTTCCAGCAACAGAGGGAGTTCGTTGTTTCCCCGTCAGCATATAACTGGTCTGCAGGAAAATGGATTCCTTTAGCTTCCTGAGGAGCATCTGGGAGGAAATGAAACAATTAACTGACGTGTAAACATTCTCAGGTCTCTCCCCTTCCCTCCTTGTTCTGTTTCCTCGAGGCAGAGGGGCTACGACACTCCTACTGGACTCTGTTTAGGGCCTCTCAGGATCTAAGATTCGTCACAGGATTACATGTCATCAAAGGAATCCAGAGGTGAACACTGTCCAGCTGTCATGACATTTAATTAACCCCGAGAGTGGATTGTGTCAGTGATTATCAGTAAAGCTCACTATCCCCATTACTGCAAACTGGCTGCTCTGTGTGTCCCCCCAGGTGTGGCTGGTGGAATCCTTTTCTGCTCTGTCCACCCTGCCCACCACCGCTCCAGGGGCTGCCGCTCACTGCTGGGCATCTGAAGTTCCTGGAAGTCTCCGCACACATCCTGCTCATGGCCAGGGTTGGGGATTTTTCCTCCCCCTTGACAGCAGCCTCAGCCAACTGAAGGATCAGCAGCATCCTCCAGTGGAACAAGAATTCGTGGCGAGCTTTTTGGTGCAGCTTTGTTGGCCAAAGACCCAGCTCCAAGGCCTGCCACTGACAGCCAGAAAGCAGCAACCACACTGCCTTGCAGGAATAGTTGCTTCTGCCCTTGGAGTCTGCCCAAAGTAGCCATCATCAACCTACTCGATGATGCTCATGTGCGTTGGTCTGTAGGATCGTGCCAACTGAAACGACAGCAAGATGCCATTTCATCTCCCAGCCCGTCCAAAACGAAAGAGCTTGAAAAGCTCAGGCACTGGAGAGGACACTCCCCTGCCCATGGGTGGGTGTGTAAATTGGCATAGCGTCTTTGAAGGACATTTGGGCAAACTGTAGTAAAGTTTAGAAGGTGCACACCCTACAAACCCTGCTCTACCACTTCTGGTTAACTACCACAGACAGACTGGACCCTGTACAAGAATGTTCACCACACCTTGTTACTAAGAGCCAAAAAACATTGTGAAAACCTGAATGTCCATCATTAGATAAATGGCTAATGGAGCTCAGAAATAAACCCACACATATACAGTCAACTAATATTTGACAAAAGAGCCAAGAGTACTCAAGGAGAAAAGATAATCTCTTTAGTAAACGGTGGTGGGAAAACTGGATATCCACATGCAAAACCTTGGAAACTTATCTTCCACCACTCACAAAAATCAGCTTCAGATGGGTTAAAGACAAATGTCAAACTTGCAATTGTAAAACTTGCAGAAGAAAACACAGGGAGAAAGTTCCTTGACACTGGTCTTGGCAACGATTTTGGGGATGACAACCAAAGCATGAACAACAAAGCCAAAATCAACAAGTGAGACTTCATCAAATCTAAGAGTTTCTGCGCAGCAAAGGAAACCGTCAACAAAATGCAAAGGCTGCCTACAGAGTGGGAGAAAATATTTGCAAACCATATATCTGACCAAGGGTTAATATCCAAAATATATAGAGAACGCATACAACTCATTGAAAAAAAATAATAAGCCAATTTAAAAATGGGAAAACACCTGAACAAGACATTTTTCCAAAGAAGACACGCACATGGCCAACAGGTGCATGAAAAGGTGCTCGAGATCGCTAATCATCAGGGAGATGCTCATCAAAACCGCAGTGAGACATCACCTCCTACGTGTTAGGATGTCTGTTATCAAAAAGACAAGAGATTACAGGTGCTGGAGAGGATGTGGACAAAGAGGAACCCTTGTGCCCTGCTGGAGGGAATCTAAATTGGTGCAACCACTATGGAAAACAGTATGGAGTTTCCTCAAAAATTTTTCAATGGAACTACCCTATGATCCAGCAATCCCACTGCTAGTATATATCTGAAGGAAGATAATAAGCTAAGTGAAATAAGTCAGTCGGAAAAAAAGACAAATACTGTATGACTTCACTTCTTTGAGGGACCTAGCATAGTCAAATTCATAGAAAGAGAAGGGAGAATGGTGGTTATGAGGGGTGGGTAGGGGAGGAGGGAGTGAGAAATTAGTGTTTAATGAGTACAAAGTTTTAGCTGAGGAAGATGAGAAAGCTCTGGAGGTGGATGGTGGTGACAGTTGCACAACAGTGTGAATGTATTTAATGCCACGGAACTGTACCCTTAAAATGGTTAAAATAGTACATTTTATGTTATGTACATTTTCCCACAATAAAAAGATTGTTTAAAAAAGGGAAATCATTACTATTTGCTATGATCCCATTTCATTTTAACCCACATAAATGCCTGCTCTTAATTTGGTGGAAGGGCAGGGCTTAATCCCATTTCACAGATGGAAGAGTGAGGGCTGGCAGAGGGGATTAAAACCAAGACAAACAAACAGAGCAAAGCCCTACAGGTGGCAGCAGAGGTCTGACTCTGAAGTAAGGGAAGCCCCTCTTCCTTGCCTGGGCATCCAAACAGTTTGTTGCACCCACAGATGAGAAAGCGCCTCAGCTCTTTAGCATGTTGGCTGCTTTTTGTGAAGCGCTTCATTCTGGTGGTCAGTGATCTTTTGTGAGCCTGTTGTCTGGGACCGACTCCCCGCAGGTCGGATACCTTGCCTCTCTTGGCCTCTCTCGGATGCTTCCTGTTTGGATGCTGGTCGCCGTCATCATGACTGTTACTACAATTGTTAGTGAAAGAAAGACAGTCCCCTAAAAACAAACAGACAGTCCCCAACGCAGCACAGACTCTGCCAAGAGACACCACGTGCAAATGCCAAACAGAACTAGAGGGCTGAAGACACAGATGGGGCAGAGTCTAAAGAGGACTGCAGGCACGTAAGCCAAACGTGACCTTCCTTAATCCCCCAACTCAGAGCTTTCTTGAGCTGGTAATTGATGGGTCCAGGTGCCAAGACGCCTGTGTAATAAACCTGATCCGCGCGTAGGTGGAGGGAGGCTCTGTGCCCTAAATATCACCAAGCATTGGTGCGGTGGTAAGGAGAGAAGGGGTCTGAGTGGATTCCACATGACAACCTCCTCTTGGAAGCTAAATACCCTTGGTTCTTGAAGCAAGCAACCCTCCTTCCTGGAAGCCAATAAGCTGCAACATCCTCTCCAGCAGGGGGCGTCCAGCATCAGTCTTGTCTTCCTAAATAAACCAGAATTGGTGGGAAACACAGGCCCCAGATCCCTTTCTGCTCCAAAGGCCCAGTTTTTCTTACTTATATTTTACCCTTTCCCTGCTGAACCTGGATCTTGGCCCAAAATTCAGCCGCTTGGCCAGCATCTTCATCCCCTGAGTGAATCTGACCAACCTCTCCCTGCGGGGTCTGCAGGCCCCTCCCTGGTTCCAGGGTTCCCGGCAGCATCCGTTCACCAGGAATGGGTGCCCGAGTCCAGG